TATCATGACTAAAAATTCAGTAAGGATAGTATATTTTCTTAATTTCAGAAATGCAAAACTAAGATCATGGGGGCTATAGACTAACGAGAAATTCGACAGCAAGGCAGGATCAAATTTCGAACGTACCGCACAGGATCAAGGTCAGCTCAGTTCCTTCAAGGTGTATCACCCAAAAAATAAATAGACACTTAGTCACGAAATTGGGATAGATAGAACTTATGGTATGGGCGTGGGAAAACTGCGTCGCCCTGGAGGGGTTAATATCATTGGGGCGAAATTGGTACAATGGGACATGTAAGTCTACACGCGGCGTGTCTCCACAACTTCAACACCAAAACGCATAGTAGCCATCTCCCTAATATAAACACACTCGTCGAATATTGCGCACCTGTTCACCGGAAGATGTTTTCAATTTCACCGTTTTTACTAGTCCGTCTGGGCCCGTGTGTCTTTCTGTGACTACACCCAGCGGCCAGTTGTCGCATTCTATTTTTTCTTTCGCCATAAGGACAACGTCCCCAACCTTCAGTGACCGTTCTCTATGCAACCACTTCTGTCCAGCTTGAAGGGTTGGCAGGTACTCTCTTGTCCAACGCTTCAAGAACACACTGCCATGTAAATCGCATGCTTCCAACCAGAGGTATAACAGCCGCTAATGGCTTTTGGCATCTCTAAGCCGGGATTCGATCTCACCTGCAGAAGGTCATTAAGGTTAGCGCCAGTTCTTGCAGGTCACCGATAGAACAAGAGGCCAGTTGTTGAGTATTCTTTCCGCCTCTACCAGAAATGTACTCAAATTTTCATCATCCGGCACCTGTTGCTCACATAATGCTGCCAACATTTTTCGTACCTACCGTGTAAGCCATTTCCAAACTCCCTCGCGGTGACTGCTGTAGCTTGAGTTGAAGCGCCATTGGGTTCCAGATGGCGACAGCCGATCTTGCAGGGCGAATTTGTATAATAGCGTCAACCAGTTGTTCAAGTCCTTTTGTGCACCGCTGAAATTGGACCGGTTGTCGGAGAACACATTCGATGGGTTGCCTCGTCTACTTACGAATCTCTGCCAGGCCATAAGTAAGGAGTCGATCGACATGCTGTGTACAGTCTCTATATGCAAAGTTCGTGACTGTAAGCATGTCATCAGGCATCCGTACCGTTTCTCCGTCGACGACTTTCGTCTCACCCAAAGTGGCCCAAAGTAGTCCACTCCAGTTTCGGTGAAAGGCCACCAACATGGTCGTACTCGGAAACTTGGTAACGAGGCCATCAGTTGTTTGCTGAATGTAGCATTCTGACGACGACAAAAGAGACAGTTAACCACGATGCGCTTTACCGTAGCTCTCCCCTTCACTATCCGAAACCGACGGCTAATCGTACTGAGTAGATGGTTTTTCCCTGCATGACCTCCTTGCATGTTGATATGTGTGATGAGTGTGTGCGTGATGTGGTGATTGTTGCGCAAGATGATGAGATGTTTAGCATCAAACTTCAACTCAGAGTTTGTCAATCTACCACCTACTCCCAGCAACCCATCTACCAATACTGGACAGAGTCTTCGAAGAGAGCTGCAAAGTAATGCACGTCGGTCGGAATCACGATTCCCCTTGCTCAACCTCTGAATCTCCGACGGAGAGGCTTGCAATTGAACCATACGAACGATATCAGTCTCTGCTGTTTTCAATTCCGTTGGAAAGATGGGCTCAATATTCAAGGTGTCGTCAGGTCGGGGTCCTTTCATGTTTGAATGTTGTCGTTTGAATCTGGTCCACCAAACAAACACCCTCAGCACCTTCGTCCATCGTGAAAAACGATGCAGTTTCTGCAGCAGGATGTTGGTTGAAGCAACGACTAACGTAACTGTCCTCTTATTCTCTGGTAACTTTGTTGCGACAGCGGAAATCTGAGTGTCGGGCCATTCGCTGGGCTGGTCTGTCAAGAAAGTCGNNTGTAACCAGGATTTTATTTTTTCCAAGTTTAGCATATCCTGGAGCAGTAGTCGGCTGGATTGTCGCAGGATTTTATGTGCCGCCGTTGGCACACCTCCGTTTCTTCGTGAATGACAGCCAACCGGTTGGCAACAAACGTGCTGAAGCGCGTCCGTACATTGTTAACATAGTGAAGAACTATANTAGCAGAATCAGTCCAGTAAGTTACGGTCCATTTGATCGGGTTAAAACATCGTTTCAACACCTTTGCTACCCTCACGGCTAATACTGCTGCGGCTAGTTCTAGTCTGGGTATTGAGACTGCCTTTAGGGGAGCGACCCTGAACTTTGCGAATAGTATACTGCTATGCCGCCTTCCACCTGGCTGAGACGAGCAACTGTTGGCCACCACTCCGTATACCACTTCCGATGCGGCCGCAAAAACGTATACCTCACTTTGCTCTCCTTTGCATATTCCTGGTATGGGACGAGGGAGTCGTATATCGCCCAGCTTGGACAGGCTCAGCCACCAGCTTTGCCAAGTCTTGTGATCCAATTTGCATATGGTCTCATACCAAGGAACTGTTTTGCTACACAGGTCCTGCAGCAGAATCTTGCCCGGCAGTAGCCACGGTGAGACGAACCCCATTGGGTCGTAAAGGCTGACCAACGAAGACAGAATTCCTGTGTGAGCCGCCATCTTCTCAGGTAGCTGGAGTTGGAACAAAAAGTCGTCCTTCTCCGAGTCCCATTGCATACGAAGTGCTCTGTCTATTGGTAACGGACGTTCCTGCAATTCACGGAGACTCGGTGCCCGCTCATCAACTGGGATGCAATCGAGTGCATGAAGACTGTTGGACATCCACTTGGTCAAACTGAACCCTCCCATAAGCAGTAGCTTGGATGGATCCCTAATGTGTCGAACTGCTTCGCCGATGCTATCAAAGGATCCCAGGAAGTCGTCCACATAAACATTACGTTCAACAGAGGAGCCCACCGGGGTTTCGAAACGCTGAGCGAATTCGTTCACGGTCGTTTTCAACGCGAAGCTTGGAAAGAAAGGAGAGGATATCGCACCAAACGAGTGCACCGTCATCCGATACTCCTGGGCAGGTCCGTCTAGGTCTCAATCCGGCCACCACCAAGCCGCTACTGCAACTGACCCCAGACGGAATCTGCACAACACCTTCTAGGCCTTGTGATAGATGGTCATTTAGGGCAATCCCAGCACACTTGGCAGCACAATCGAAGACAACTCGGATCTTCTGAGGTTTCTTGTGGTTTATGGCAGGGTGGTGCGGAAGATACCACAATGGTTGCTCCTTTTCGATTTCTCCCATTGCGCTTTCGATATATCCCAACTGTAGATTGCGTTTCATAGCGTTACAGTAGGCTTCCTTCAACTGTGCGTTCTTCTTCAATCGACCCTTCTGGTAACTGATCCTGTGGAGTGCTGTTTCTCGATTGTCTGGCAGTCGGTTGGATCCCGTTCGCCAGGGTAACGGCACTTCAAAATGGGTTCCGTTGTAT